CGGCATCCAATTCCCAAATCAATAAGACAGTTGGTTTAATTACTATTGGAAAATGCTTGTCATTCCCCTGTAGCATCTGGTTCCCACTGGACCCTCATCATTTCCTTCACCTGCTCCCCCCACTGACCAAACTGTGCAGCTCTGCAACTGCATCCTGGCCCATCCTCACCCTTCTGCCCCCAACCTTCACCTCCTTGTACCCCCAATATGTTTTTTCCCAATAAAAGAAAATATTAACTGAAAAAAAAAGAAAAAAAAGAAATGTTGATTGATTTTGGGCCTTTTGGTTTTCTGACTCCAGGTCTTTGCATATTTCATTATAATATTTTGCTTTGCCTTCTGGAGCTACCCTTTAAAATCCTATGTTCAGTTTCTTAACTTCCTGATTTCTTTCCTTTGTTTTGGCTTCTCATCATTCTAGTTCTATATTCAGAGTCTCTTCTGATATCCATTTTGGTCTTCTCTTCCTCTTCTGTCTTTGCAATAACCATTTGCACTCTTCCTGGATGATATTCTTGATATCCTTCCACAGCTCATCAGGTCTTTGCTGATTAATGTTCAAGACCTCACACCTGTTCCTGAGATGATTTTTAAATTTAGGTGGGATAGGATCAAGGTCAAATTTTGGTTCTTGAGGATTTGTTTTCATTTTCTTTAGCTTCAGGTTGAACTTGCACAGGAGTAGTGCATGGTTTGTACCACAATCGCTCAGGTCGTGTGTCTCATCTCATCTTATCTCATCTCATCTGCACCAGCCCATCTAGTAGGTCTCATCTGCACCTGCTCAGGTTGGTCTGTGCTCACCCAGGTTGGTCTGCACCTGTGCCACCCTGGACCTGACCAGAGCACCAGCATCACTGGGAATTAGAGAGGAAATGATAGGACAGAAGTGGCCAGGGGCCTTAGCCATCATATTGGGGATTTGTTGGGGAGTGGAAAGAGATGTGCTATGGAGGCAGGATGAGGAATGAAGCAGGATGCAGAAAGGGTGCAGAGTGGCAGCGGGACCATGACACATGCGTCAAGTGGGAGGTTACACCAACATTGGATCTGTTAGCTGCATAATGATGAAAGGTCTTTCATCTCCTCTTTTGGGTAAAATGCTTGTCTGTCAGATAATCTAATACTGAACATCCAAATTAAGGCTAAGTAGGAAGAAAAACTGGCCATCCACTTCTGAAATAATGGCCTTCAAAACCATATGTACAACCCTATGTACACATACACACTTACACATATGTAAATATATATACACTCATGCTCACATATAAGGAGCCCTTATATAAATACATAGTGCATTATGTGTTGGGCTAGATTAAAAATTCCAATCCACAGGCTACTCCATGGGAAAATAACGATGAAGTTCAATCACATTGAAATTTACAGCATGAGAAACTCAATGGAGTGTTGTCATTAGTCAAAATCAAGATCAACTCAACAACAGTGAGTTTTTTTAAATTATTTACTGCTGTGAGCATGATCCAGTCACTGCAGCATAAATTATTATGGTACCTATCTCACATAATTAATTGGAAAATTAATGAGCTTCTTTTTACATATGAAACCCTCCGAACAAGACTGCTATGAAGTTGTTCTCACTGTTACTAATTCTTCACCTGAACAACTTTACGATTCACAAAATTCGTCTCAATTGCATTCACTTTCTGCCTCTCTCACTGTTCCATCTCCATCCAATATACAAAATGGACTTTTAAAAGTTGCACGATGAAGTATCGTATTCTTATTTAAAACTTTTCAATGATTCCTAAGGTTTTTACTAAAACAAAGCAAAGCAAATAACAACAACAACAAAAAGGAGAGGACCTGGCCCAATTCAGAAAATATCCAATCACCAAGTTTCCAGACTCACCCTATACTACCTTTTCCCTTGCTCATGTTGACCTTCTATCTCTATCTAAAGTATGTCAATGTATTTATTTCCTTGCTCTTCACTCTTTGGACTCTATTATTCTTGTACCAGCCCAATGTTCACTCTTTATCACCTGGTTAATTCTTCTGTATAAGATTTACATCTTAGTTACTTCCTCAGGGAGTCTTTTCTGGACATCATCAAGCAGGTCAAATCCCTATTTCAGGCTCTCAAAGTAAATAATAATTTTCCACTTTATCAGTGATCAAAATATTAAGAATATTTACATTTTTTAATCATTTAATGACTGCCTTGTCTACTGAATTGTAGTAAGTGTTTTAAAAAATAAGGACAATATTTGCTTATTGATTACTGGATCCAGACTGAAAATGAAAAGAATTCTTTGCTAGCTAGACTACAATGTAGCAAAATTCAGTACCTTTACGTTCACTCTTAAAACACACACTCATAGAGTAATATAACTGTACCAATAAAACATCAATATATCCTCTCAGAAAAAATAACTATGGATATTTTCCAATTTTAAATTACACAATGGAAATATTTTAAATTTGATTAAAATGCATTTTAGAGGTGAATAATAAATAGATACCTGGAATACCACCCAGATAAGTGACCACTGTTCCCTTCATTGCTCTGTCTAAGATGGCAAGTTGACTTTGAAAATCTTCAGAGTAGATGGTACTTTTTCCAAATGGATTAGACAGCTCCATGTTGTGTTTGTTGACTCTGAATTCCAGATGAGATTGTTGATTGGAACATAAATTTACAGCCTCTATTCGAGATATTACTGTATTTTCCACAGACACTATGATATCCTAAGAAACAGAGCAAAGATCTAATGTAAGTAAGTACTAATAGTAATGTCATTTAAGAGAGTTTTTTGAGGGGAACCAAAACACTTTGTCATAAAGAAAACAAATCTTCACAACGAGACCAATAAGTCACAATGTGATAAATAAAGAAAAGATTAAAGTTGTTAAGGATTTAATTTACTTTTCAAGGACCATTTAAAGTGCTAAAGAGCAAACATGTCACTATGGAATTTTCAATTACTTCATATGAGTGTAAAAGGAGGACAATGAATGAGTGAATAAGGAAGACCTAAGAACTATGCCTTCAAATTGTAGTGTTGGCAAAGAATATTGACTATACCAAAGAGTGCCAAAAGGACAAACAAATCTGTCTTGGAAGACGTGCATCCAGCGTGTCCCTTAGAAGCAAGGATGGCAGACTTCATCTTGAATATTTTGGGCATGTTATCAGGAGGCACCAGTTCTGGGTAGGATAAGGATATTGTCCATGGAAAACTGGAGGGTTGGCAAAAGAAAGGAAGATTCTCAACGAGACTGATTGTCACAGTGGATGCAACCACGGACTAAAGCACAGCAGATTGTGATGACAGCCCAGGACTGGGAACTTTCATCCTGTTGTACCTGGGGCCGCTGTGAGTTGGAGCCAAGATCATGTCACCTAATAACAACACTGGATTTCAATAAAGAAAATATTTAATAATCATCGTTCTAAAATACAGTCATTAACAAATTCTACATTTAGCTAAGATATAAATGTAAACTGACAAATTAATAAATGAAGAGAGCTATCTGATCAGCATGACTATCTATCTCTTACTTTCTAAAGTTGCATCTGAAGCAAAATTTTCTGCTTGTGAACTCCTAAGACCCTAACTTCAAAACTGACATATTAAAAATGAATATGCTGTATCACTCTTATACTGAGGAAAATGCCAGTAAAAGGAAAAGTCCTAAGTTAGCATACAGACTGGGCCTCTAGGGCTCAGTTCAAATCCATTAGCTGTTCTACAGGAGAACGATGGGCAATCTCTTCCCATGTGATTTACAGTCTCTAATCCCCCAATGGATGATGGTCAGCTATGAGCTTCTCATCCCCTAATGGAGGGTCAGGTATGAGTCCCTCATACCTCTTGTATATGTTTGAGTAAGCAAAGACAAGAAATGACTAAAAGGTTAGTTTGTGACATGTAAACAAGCAATTCTATAGACCTGGACAAAGTCATCTGAAAATGCTCTGAGCTAGAAAAACTAGGGAATCTCAGCAGTAAATACCAATATTTGCAGAAGAAAATGTATTCACTTTGGTGAGTCTTTGGAACTGCTTATAAAGCTAAATTACCCAACTTATTAAAGATGATGGATAGATAGATAGATATTAAATGATAGAGATAGATATATTAGATGATATATCAGATGATAGATATATAGATTGGATAGATATAGATATATAGATGATATAGATATATATAGATGATATAGATATAGATATAGATAGATATATTAGATGATAGATGGATAGATAACAATTTATGTAGAGGAAATGAAAAATTTAAGAGAGATGAAGCAAAATTTGAACTAGAGACTAGGCCAGCTCCCTCCTGATGCTTCCTAGATCTCAAGTGTATAATTAGGAAAAGACCTTTATGCTGGCTAAAAAGTCTAAACTCTCAGAAACATGGGTTTATTTGATGAAGTCTGTTACTATTACACATGTCCATAGTTACAGTGTTTTAATGAGTTTATTAAAAATTTTCAGAGATCATTAGCTCAGAATACATTCAGTATATATGGAATAGTGATAGAAAGCAATGTGCACAGAACTTAAAAAAGACTATGATGTATTCCCACTCCAAGTGTCATGGAAACAAGCACAGAAACAATAACATAGAAACCAAAAACAGAGTATGCTTTAACATCTTCTACTGCATAAAGAGAGTGTTAAGGATAAGAACTTATGGTTGTTTTTTGAAAACAAAAAATCTGTAGTCCTAATGTAATGACGAGCACCTATGGTAGATTTTCTCACTATCTCACTGTGGTCTCACAGCTGATCCTCCACTGGGATTCCAAGTCTTGTAAATCACAAGGAAATGGATTGCCCATCTCTCTCCCGAGGAGCCACTGGTGGACTTAACCCACTGGAGAGGAGCAGCCCTTTAGGTTAACAGTTCGACTCCCTTGGTTCTACACCACCAAAGTTTCCTCTTTGTAGTAGATTGGAGAGTTAAAAAAAAAAAAACCAACAAAACAAACAAACAAAAAACTCAGCAGGATCCTTCCGGGTTGCTTATGGTTAATCATCAAAAACTATTCCAATTATCGTGTAACTACAAACAACACCCCTTATTACCACAGGCAATATTAAATTATCTGCCTCTCTATGAAAGCTATGGAGAGAATCCAAGCCAACACTGGCACAAGCATAAGTTTACCTGTTAATCCACTGTGGATGATACACTGACAAAACTATTAGGCTGTAGCAGAAGTGTGAGCAACACAGATCCTCTCATAACACTCATGCTTCCTCTTAGCCAAGAGCTTTATTATTATTATTATTATTATTATTATTATTATTATTATTATTATGTATTGTAAATTGGGAACAGACTCATAGCTGACCCTCTAAAAATGGGTCTGCAGAGACCATAAATTACATGTAAGGAAATTGCCCATCTTTCTCCCTCAGAGCAGTGTACTTGAACTATAGCTTTGGGGTTGGCAGTACAACTCCTTAACACTAAGCAATCACAGTGCCCTCTAAATTTCAAATCACCAGCCCACCAACCAGGATCGCAATCCCTCTGCCCTAACAGGGGCACTCAAAAGAGCTATAAAAGCAAGTGAGAGGGTAAACTCGGGGCTTTTTTTCCTTCACCACCTTCCTGAGGAGGAAAAACGTCTCCACATGTGGAAATAATATAATAAACGCTCTTGAAGTTTAAAAAAAAAACCATTCAAATCTCAGCTGCCATCAGGAAGCCATGGACACTCTTGGCTTTCTCGCCTGTACTTATAGGAAAAGAAACTAGAGTGGAAAAAAGCTCACACCAGAAATGAAATAGCACAAAACATTTTTTCTGCTTCCTTTTTTAATATTTCATTGTTTTAGGTGAAAGTTTCCACAAAAAGTAATTTTTCTATTTAATAATTTATAAATAAATTGCTCTATAACATGGTTGCAAGTATGCTCCAAGTATTCACCAAGTATTCTCCTATTTACACTGTGGGATTCCTGATTCCATTAGTCCATTTTTTGCAGTCTCTTTCTGTCTTTGTTTTTGGGTTAGAGATGTCCTTTTGGTCTTGTATAGTTGATTGTTCTAAGGAATAATAATAATCCTCCTCAGAAGTTACTGCTCATAATACAGACCAGTCTGCTATTTGGTTGAGAAATCATCTTAAGAAGTAGCTTCAGTTTTATGTTACAAGCATTGACTTATATAACCAGAGCCACAGAAATTCCTATCACCTCTACCAGACCAGTAAGGCTGATGTTTTTCATGAATTTGAGACTTGTTCTGCATTTTTCTTCCATTTTAATGAGGAATGTCTATGTCCTTGGGCAGAAATGGTTGGTTGGAAGTGGTAGCCAGGAACCACCTAACTTTTTCAATCTCAGACTAGAGTGTGCGGCTGTTCCTGTGAGCCATTAGTCCTTGAGTCTTTGATTTTCTTCACTCTCATTTGTTCTAGCTCAGAATGATGAATACTCATATATTTTACAGTTTCTCAAAATCTTTTAAGATTCCAGACACTACTCACCAAACTAGAAACATTATTATTCTATGCCAACTATTCTATCCCCTAAGACATCTATCATCCATTTTTATTTCTGCATATACCCTAGCCTAGATTTTTCATTACTTTTGTCTCATATAATATTAGCCCTTTTGTGACTGACTGACTTCTTTCACTCAGTATAATGTTCTCTAGATTCATCTATGTTGTGAAATATGCCATAAATTGATCATTGTTTTTTTCTTTTATTATAAATAAAAAATTATATTTTACATTGGTTTGATTACAAAGTTCATATACATTGTTCACTATTCTTAACTGTTCTGTAACATCTTGTTATATATATGTATCACTGTTTATCCATCTATATCTTAAGAGACACTTAAACTGTTTGCCATCTTTTTGTTATTATGGGTAATGCTGCAATAAGCATGCGTATGAATACTATATTAATACTACAGCTCTTATTTCTTTAGGATATGGAACTAGAAGTGGCATTATTGGACCATATTGTATTTGCTTTTCTAGCTCTTTAAGAAAGTGCCATGCCATTTTCCATAGGTGTTCTACTGTATTACAAAACAAATACATGAGAGTGATTGCAAACAATTAATTCTCATAATTCTTCAAGAAGTCCAGATAAGGGTTGTTCATATGTACTAAGTAAAGGCTTCAAGGAACTTAGATGTGTCTGCCTAACCTAAATTTTATAAAATAGATATAATCAACTAATTTTTCAGTTCTGATTTTGGAAACACTCCAACAAAACAGTTATAAAATGAACATTATCATATGTACTTAATAGTTCATTAGAGACTCTGTTGAATACACAAGCAAACTAATCTTTAACAGAGCTATCTGTAAAAATACTTTCTTACCCAGTTTCGAGAGAAAAAAATTCAAAAAGGCTTTGAGTATAAGTTACCTGAAACTTTCCAGAGATGGAGTCCACCAAGGCCAAGGCAAAGGGTACTGTTTTGCCAGAAACCAAGGAAAATAGAACACCAGTACCTGTGGATGGGCGGATATTTAAGGTCCCATTTATCTGCCAGCTCTCAGCCTTGGACACGTTATCTGTTCAAAACAGTGAAAATGGAAGCAGATCAGCATACTCCTAAAGTACAAGAGAAAGAATCACAGCAATATGAAAAAAAAAAGCCATCTCTGTATAATAATACTAAAGATCACCACAATACTCAAATCCATCTCTGTATAACAATACTAAAGATTTTCATTATCCTTTCTCAGAGATCTGTATAACCTGGTCAAAACAAAACAAAAGGATTATTAAATGTAGATATGAAGCTTACAAATGGAATCAACTGCTTCTGCTCTTCATTCTAGAAAAGTTTGCATTTTCCTTTTTACTTTTCTCACTTGAATATGTACCGATGATCAAATCACAGAGGTCATATGTTAAAGCACACAGCTAGAAGTGGATCAACATGTTTATTACAATATTCTATGGGTGCAATTACCACCACCAAGATCACTTTAGATTATATATATATATATATCTCACTTTATATAGTATATACTTTATACTATATAAAGGCACCAGCTTTAGCATTGTAATATACCATACAATATATACAAATGAACAATATGCAATTAATTATAAATATATACTATATATATTTAATGACATTTCAAATATTCATAACAACCTTATAAACAATAGATCTGAACCCTCTAATCCTATGCATTCTCTTCTGATACAAAGATAATGGATTCAAATTGCTTGCCTTTGAGTTGGCAGAGCAACTCCCTAACCATTCAGTGAACAGAGCTTATTTATAGGGGTGTGTGTGTGTGTGTGTGTGTATACGTGTGTGTGTAAATATATATGTCTGTGTATATGTATATATACATACATATGTGTGTGTATATATGTGTGTGTGTCTGTATATATATGTATTAGAAGCTGTGCTGCAATCCCAGAGGCACACAGGTTATGTCCACTGGCTGTTCTTCAGGATAAAGATAATCTCCTCCCGTGTGATTAAAACTGCCTCTGAGACCATAAATGACATCCAAGTAGATATATGTATACCCATGTTTATCGCGGCTTTGTTTACAATAGCAAGGAGTTGGAAACAACCTAAGTGCCCATCAACAAACGAATGGGTAGAGAAGCTGTGGTATATTC